ATGCCACATAGATGAGAGGTGCAAAGAAGCTGAAGTAAAGGAACGTGGTAGCATCAACACAGCTGTCAACAGCAAAACATGAAGGAATTTAGCCTTCAAGCACAATACAGCTGGATAACACCAGTCACATCCCCCAGAACGATCCAATTTCCCTCCAGAGTATCCAAACAGAGGACAGAAAAGGTCTTGTGCTAAACAAATTCAAACTGATGCAAAGCAACAGACATTATCATCAACATATGTCACCGCTCCCAGACACTCAGAGGGAACCGTGCCAAGACCCAAGGTGTGACCAAGAGCACAGTCTCAGTGCTCCCAATTTTGACTTACAGAAGTGACACTTCTGTGTCAAAGAGTCACTGCAGTGACTCACACTGATCCCTGCAGATCAAGACTCCAGATATTAATAAGGATATCTCCATGCTACTTCTAGCAAACTGACTACTTCCTTATTACCTATGAAACCCAGGCCAACAGCCAGGCATCAGTGGATTCAAACTGTTACTCTCACTCACCACCTCAAGATCACTGCAGACCACACAGCTCCACAGACCTCTCCACTGAGAGTTTCCTGACCACTTAGAGGTCTTTTGGCACAAAAGAGAACCAACAGCTTTACTCCTTCTTAGGAACACAGCACAAGCTTGTTTCCTCAGGTGAGGCAGTGTTGAAGGACACTCAAACACAACACAAGAAACAGCTGCAGACCTCCTCCCCCAGCATACATACCACAGTCCTTCTATGATATCCACACAGAGGAGGGCACTGCCCAGGCCCTGCACCAGGTTCAACAGTGCCAGGATTCCAGCATAAACATAAAAACTCTTCCTGGCTGTGGGAAAGACATGGACACAGATGAAGCTCAATCTCGTAAGCATCAGCCCAGTGCAAATTTGTTGGATGGAGATGGCAAACCCAACAGAAGCATCTCACCATCTTGTCCACTTAAGAACTCCTGAAGAATTAAGACTGCATTTTCCTGTTGCATGCTGGCAGGATTGATGGAGATATTGTGGACTAAACCATACCCTCCTGCACGTGTATACACACACACACAAGATGGGTTTTGAAAACACACGGTCATGGCAACACATGCAAAGGTTTTATAGGCAAGCATCTGGAACCAGTGTCAATCTCATAACTGAACATAAGAAAAAACAAACAAAAACCCCCAGCTGAACCAGAAGCTGTGCCCTTCTGATGTACAGCACTAAAAAAACCGCTCAGGAGACCTGAACAGGAGCAGCAGGGTATGCTGGCAGATCAGGCCCAGGACCACCTGCTTGTGGCATGTGCCACTCATATCAGGGTACTCACGCAGAGATGCCAACACTACTTAGAGAACAGCCCAACGCAAACACCTTAGTAACAGCTGCTCTCCCTATTCAAGAACTGCAGATATTCTGCAACGAGATCTGGAGAAGCATCTTAATAAAGTAAACGCCCAGATAAAAATTATTAAGCAGCTCCCAACTAGCCTTTCTTTCCCAGGGAACGACCAGCACATACACTTTAACATCATACATGCATTTCAAAGGAAGCTGTTATTAAGAAGCCATTTCTTATGGCTCTCTGAAGATTATATATTTATATTAAATCTGTATCATTAACTGAGCAGTAAATCTTGTTTTCTTAATGTAATTGTTTAGCTACTGAAGTAGCAGTGTAATTGCTCTTACTCCCCTCTCCAAAGGCACAACATACTGTTTTCCAGGGATAACTTATCAGTCTTTTGCCACGTATCTGTACCCCAAGATAGTGGGATGTATCTTTTACTCCCACCTATGTTTTATCTTGGCGCTGTCTCCATCTATATTATAGAACACACTACAGTCACTTACAGGGCAAAGAAATCCGGTCTTTCAGAGGAGTTTTTGGAAGAATCACCACAAAAGAATAGACCTGTTGAGACAAAGAACTAACTGTATCACAGCTGCTTGGCAACAGAATTCAACAATCCTTGCAGGGATGGTGCATGGTGTCACTCACTCCCTAGATGTCTCAGGACTGGGGCACAGACCCACTGATACTAAGCCCAGTGCAGATGGTGCAGATACAAAGGCCCCACACCTCGCCCCCATCAGCACACAAAGGCTGGTCACTGAGAAACAAGGGAGTGAAGAACATCTGAGTTCAGCTGGAATTCAGCTGCCACAGTTTACACCGCTACCACCACAGCTTTATTGCTTCGGCTTCCCTGTCCCATGAGAAGCATCAATGCTGCACTGTATCAGGCAGGAGGAGGACCAGGGCCTTATTAAGCAGAAATCATCCTCCTGCCTCATTTAGAAAATACAAAGAAACTATCGGAGTGCATCGCACATGCTCAGTACTTACCAGAAAGAAGAAACAGGAGCTGGCAAGCCAGAAGTGTCTTCCTCCATGGCCATAGATGTTGAAGTCTTCTGCTGAGAGGTGGGCATCAGGGTACAGGATTTCCAGCGTGCCCTAGGAGAGAAGTGGCACCAACATGATTCTGTTATAGGCAGCATCCTCACTAGAGCAGGTGTCTGGACAAAGGAGACTGTGTTTAAAGAAGTCAGAAAACAGCTGTCCCTGCCACCTAAGACCCAACCATTGCTCAGCTTAGACCAAGTTAAGCTCACACAGGAGAACACAAAGAAACTGAAGACCAGACAGGGGAAAAAAGTGGCAGGAATCTGCATCTGAAGGAAACTGACATCAATGATATTCCAGAGAGAGATTGAATGAAGCAATTGAGGATGCAAGCAGTTGTCTGTTTGAAATAGACTGAGTCTCATTTCCGTCTCTAAAGTAGACCTCTCTTGCTAAAACATCCAGAATATAAAAGCCTACACTTGTGCAAGAGTTGGGAAAGGACACTCTCACTTGAATTCCTGAAAAATGGTATGAACAGAAGCTACTATACAGAAAGCAGAGAGAGGAAAGTGCTTGTAAGCACTACTGAACCCAGATATAGCTCAAACACTTGAGGCTCCTCCAGCTTTATCATGTGGTAATGATCAGATCACTGCCTCCTCAAGCAAGAGCCTGGTCATAGAACAAAGATCTGTGTGTTATTTTGGCGCTGCCACAAGTAGAGAGACAGAGGGCTGACCACTTAGATACCGAGGAGAATAAACCCAGACACATACTGCATTGTTCAGGGAGATGAAGACACAGCTAATACACCAAGCTAGCAAGCCAGCTGCTAATTGGAGGGAAAGCAAGAGCTCTCAGCTCTCAAAGAGTCAGGAGACAAGAGGCCCACTGGACTGTTCTTTTCAGGTGAGCACACCTCAGGTCTCTCCATCTAGTTTTCACGGCACTTGAGGCTAGATTCGGAACTTAGGGCTCAGATGCGAAAAATCTCTCACTTCTGTTCCAAGATTCACTAAACAAGTGAATTCATCTAAATCTCATTCATTCCTTGACCTTGGCTGAGCTATTCATGCCATAAAGACAACAAGGACACAGCCTGGTGTACGCTCTGGGGATCTTCATACACTGCCACAAGCATCCAGTCTTCCCCCAAAACCTCACGCAAAGAGCAAAGCTGCCACTTTCCAGATAGGAGTTCTGTATCCAACTGCCTAGCTCCAAGCAAAGTCCCCTCCTTTGCAAAGACTAATTCTTCTGCTCCAGTGTACTCACCTGGGTGACAGAATATGCCAGGGACAGCACTGTAGTGATTGCCAGAACACGTTTCACACTTGACTTGCTCTCCAGGTGACCTGGAATTAAAGAATACAGAAGTGACTCAGGATGTGATCCCAGCCCTGGTAAAAAAAAAAAAAAATCACTTCTCTCCAAAACCAGTAGAGGAAAACATTTTTATTTCCAGAGGACTTCAAGGGAACATTAAGCCTCACTTAATTGCTAGAAACTGCTTCCCTACTTGAAGAGTTGAACCTTTCACAGACAAAAATAATACTCATAAAACAACAGGTTCTAACTTGCTTTCCCCCTGCCCACATTAACATAGAGAAAGCAACTATGCCCTTCTGCTGGGGTTACCCAAAAAAAAAAAAAGTCAGGAATGACTCCAGTATCACGTACACTGACATGCTGTAAAGTTTCTTCTCAGGAAAAAAAGTTGATGGGAGACTGGATTAGAGGAGAAAAGAAGGGCTTACATAATTTAGAGAAACGTGTGCTGGAATATGCTGGAGCAGACAATCTCCAGAAGCTCCTTCCAACCAATCATTCTATGAGCCCTCAAAAGCCAAAAGAGCCAGCACTCAGATGTCCCAATTGTAGATGCAACAGTGACACTGACCAACCCCTCCCTCCCATCTCTGACCCACAGGAAGAGGTGCCTCAAACAGCATTTTCACTTGTACAACTAAAAAAAAGTAGAGTTACAGATTGCAGGTACAGGTGAAGCCTTTGAATGAAGCCACAATGGAATCGAACCAACCAAGGAGGAGACAGAAGGACCCCCAAAGGAACCATCTTAAATAAAATGGAGTGGAAGCAAAGATCAGACTGCTGATCTTTGCGTAAGTCATCTTCACCTAAGCTGTACACTCCTTCACCACACGCACGCAGGACAAACGAAGCACATAAACTGTGAAACTGCACAAGCCATAAATCTGCAAATATAATCAGGCTTTCAGCCATTTCTAGTTAAAACTTCCCAATTTGTCTTTTGTCTTAATTCTAGAGCTCCTTCACTTTATAGGATCAGCATCTCCACAAACTTACAGATGCAGCCTCTGTGGAAAGAAAGGGAACAGGAAACACTCAAAGCACTCAAAAACCTCCTGATACATACCAAAGGCAAGGCCTAGAATCACCACACTCAGCTCAATCGCCAGAAGGAAGAACCTTGTGATCTCCCACAGGATCTGAGGGTTAACAGAAACCAGACAAACGTGATTAGATGAGCCAGCAACCAGCTGGAAGTTAACACTGCAGAACTCCACTCTCTGCTCCAGGGGATGGTAGCCTCTGAATGGAGCAGGTCAATTCCACAAACCCTCCTCATCCTTTGTAGGGATAGTAATTATACACTTCTTCCAAGCCCTGTCCACACCTGTGAAACAACACAGTTGTGTGGGAGCAAGCAAATAGCATGCCTACCGAGAGAGGAAGTGGCCATGGTTTGCCACACCTGAGGATCTGTCACTTGTCTTGGATGTGTTCTTTCTGCTGTACTCCCATGGAGCACAAACCCAAGACGACTTCAAAAGTGTAATATTAAACATGGTCAGTTCTTAAAGCAGTAGATTCTGCAGTACAGTTATGACTGAACAAACGCAGAATTCTGCACTCCTCCAAAGCTACTGGTCCCTAAATCTAAAGTATATTCAGCTCTAAAGCCCTCCCACTTCCAGCTTGTCATTTTCATTCCCATGTTTTATTTGGTGAAACAAGACACAAAAAAACAACAGGTGAGGCAACTTTCCAAGTAGTCATGCAATAAATCAGTGCCAAACCTAGAAAGAGAACCCAGATTCTGGCTTATTCATCCTTTTCCTCTGAACACTGAATGGCACCCTCTCTTGAAGATAAACAATATTTTAAGTGGCATTTGATGAGACACTTCTAATCTCAGAAAATACCAAGGTGGGGAGCGTGCATATATATACACATGAGAGAAAACAAAAGAAACATAATAGACCTGACAGAACATGTGTTTACAGGAAAAATTGACAGAGTGTCTGTCTTACTACATGACTACCCAGTAAGGTGCACTTAGCAGCAACACCAACAGAGCTGAAGAAAAGCACCTGCTCACCTTTTCTCCACTATTCAAGTCCTGAACCTACATCTATTCAACAGAGGTGAATGAAAATGCTACCAACACCCAGCCACTCACAACAGCAACGCATTACAATGCCTTCACAGGTAACATTAAAGAACCACAGTGATCCCAGAAAATAAAGCCAGAAGACCTGTATTCTGCACATGGCTCCTCTTCCTCTAACAGCTCAAGAACTACAGAGCTTTTTGTTTTAGGTAATATTCTGCTACACATCAAATGACTACAAAGAAACAGCATGTACAAAGCTATTTCCTGTTTGCTAAGGGTTTGCCCTGTGCTCAGAGTGGCTGCAAGGACATTCAGATATCAGCCTCAAAAGGCAATGCAGTTTTGTTTGCTTTCAATATGAAAGAATTAAATATTTTTCGAAGAGCCACTCATACAAGAAGAGCCGCAAGAGTAACAAAGGCCAAGTCTTGTCTAGCCACTAAAGGTATCTGAATGTTTTGCTCTTACAAAGCAGTCATTCTACCCCTGCAACAGGAAAGTTCTGCTGTCACTATTTGTGCATCTGTTTTAGGAAGTCCATTGTTTTCCAGCCCAGGCTGTTGTGATTATTTAGATCCAGCTCTCACAACAGGATTCTATATTACACATAGCTGTGAGCAATGCAAAAAACACATTCTTCTTCTAGCACATAAAAGGGAAGCTATAGCAGATTGCTGTGACCAGAACTGCACAAGGCAGAGCCTCTAAAATCAGTGTTGTACCTACCTTATCCGCAACTGTGGCAGCATCAGAGGCACTTACAGTCATGGAGACAACAGCACGGGCAATACCAACTAAAGCCACCACAAATACCTACACAAAAAGATACCAAAAGTAAGCTCATGTCAAAAAGCACATTTGCAGTAGTGATGAGAAACTCTTTCAGAATACCATTTCCAGGCCACCTTTCAAGCCTGATAACGTGTACTAAGGATTTCCTCTAGCAGATGAGCGTTAATTTGCTGAAGAAGATTCCTCAGGCCTGTTAGATATAGGAGTACTGGCTTAGAATTTAGGAAGGAACAAGTTTCCTCAGCTATCAGATTAAACAGCTCTGAAGAGGTCTCATCCACTCCTTACAACAGTATCTTTACAGGCAAGCAGTCTTCCTACCCTTCAGTCCACCGGGGCAGGGGAGGAGAAAAACCAAGTAAAAAACATATCCCTCCAAATTACAAAATCAAGCGCTTGGTATGACTGAACAAACCCATCACATCAGGTAACCAAAGCCACACGGGATCAACTACCACACTTCAGATCTGTGATAAGACTAAAATCTGCAGTTCTCTCACTCAAAACTGACAGTGCTCAGGAATGCAAAAGAAAAAAAGTCTGCTGCAGCCAAGCGCTTTAAAACATCTTACCCTGCTGCACAATGCAACACAGACACCCAAGTCAGCTCACGTACCATGTAAGCACGACAGCACGGAGCTCAGCAAGGCTAATTTACCAACTCCTGTGCTGCCACAGCCACACTATGCAATTAAGAGCTCAGTTGGATGTATCTACCCTCCGCTGTGCAGAATTACCCTCTAAGAAAGCAGATTTTTCCAGATAAAATTCTCCAAGTCACAGGCTAATTCTAATAACGCAGGTGTGAGACAGCTAAATCTATCAGAGAACAAAAAGAGTCCAAGCTGATTTTGAGCTGGCTGAAGAATGGAAATGACCAATAAGCCACCCACACCAGAATGTTTTCTCCTTAGAAACAGAAGGGATGCAAATGGCATGAAAGAAGAATAATACAACATTTCTCCTGCAGTGGAAAACTCTGGGACAAAACACTGACAAAAAAAAAAGTAGAGTCCCTGAATATAATGTTGCTGGAGCAGCAACAACTCATTAGAGAGGAAAACACACCCTTTTTGCTTCCTCTCTAAGTAGGTAGAGACTCTTCCCAATCTATTAACTTAGCTTTAATCACTGACTCCGCAAGAAAGCTTTCCTTCAACACGTGACAGCCATTTGAAAGGAAATCCTCATGGAACACACTTACATCCTCGTTTACCAACAACATACACCAGAAGATGAAACTGAGTGAAAGCGTTTTTGTCTAAGGCTGCTTCACCACTTTCTGCTTCTCGCTCCATTTTGAAAAAGTCAACAGCATAAAGTCAGTTCACTTTTTTTCTTCCCTCTGGCTTCTCAGGAGTTTTGCTTTTCAAAGCCTTTGGCATGAACTTCTTACTGAGTCATGTGCATTGCTGGAAGCATGAAGGAAGATTTAAATACAGACTGAAAATGGCTGGTAATATTTTTCAAAAGTCTGGAGCATTTGTGTGTACACCTGGCTACCCAAAACTGTGCACAAGCCCAGTGACCACACTCCAGGCCTGAAAGAGCTACCAGGACTTCCCACCAAAGATTCGGTTGAGGCTGCTAGCTCATATTTGGGTTTGAAGCTTCTTGGGTTTTGCCATGCCAGTACCTGTGCACAGCCCAAAGAAGGATGCCTTCCATATCACCCAATTCAAACACATATTTACTTCTACAACATGTACTAATCTCACTGAGGAAGAGCAAGCACATTATGCTACACACTGAGGCAAGCCAGGATCTCAGAAAGCACCTACAATAAAGCTTCTGAATTATATCTTTAAACAAATTCAGGTAGGTCCTTAGCTGTATTTACCATGCCCTGTGAGCAGTATCACAGTTAACAGGCACGATGTTCGCAGATTACTAAACAGCCTACCTTAACATCATCAAAAGTTGCCAGTGCCTTTTTAAACTGGGGAGAGGGGGAACCGACAAGATCTTAGATGTTTGAGAATTGTAATTGTACTGCCTATATATTCTGTTTCCAGCTTAAGAAGTATCAAGAACATCATCAAGTCAGCAGCCACTTTGACATGATAGGAAAGAAACTAACAGGGTTGGGTTTCTACATTCCCAGTCTAACCATTTTCTACAGCAGATGACCAAGCTTTTCAATAGCTTCACATAAATTACTTTCCAGTGTTTCACTTTCACTGCCTCAGTGAGAAGCTGGTTTTGTGTCACATGCTACTTACTGCAAGGATCAAAGAAAGTATAAGATACCAGATTCCAGGACAACAAAGCAACAAAAGAAAAGAGGAAAAGAAATTTAAAAAAATCACCACAGGAGAACAAAATCCACTCAAATCTTGCAGATATGGACCCAGAATCTGTGAAAAGCAGAATTCAGACAGTGAAAAAAAAATACCTGTGCCTACTTCTTGTGGCATACTTTCAACTAAATACAGATTTTATCCCTGTGAGATCTGGTCTAGGCTCTCTCTCCATTAGTTCAGTGATATCGTTCATGAGTGGTAATAAAAAGACACTCACTCATCAGTTGAAAAGCACAGAGCAGTACTCACTAGTATGTAGAATGTAGTGAAGATTGGGCTGGAAGTGACCCGGATTTTGGCCCTGGCAGAGGGCAGCTTCCAGAGAAGAAATATAAAGAAAAGCACATTGGGAACCAGGAGCAGAAGATCCCAGTAGCGGACTCTGCAAAAAGTAAATAAAACAGGTTTTTTCCTGTTCTTCAGCATCTAGAAGGGAAGGCACCAGCCTC